CCAGCTTCTTCAAGTTCAATATCCTCAACTTCGAGGTGGTCTTTCATAGGACTTCTTAAGGGGAGAGGGAGAGGTTAAAACACTTAGAAAAGAGGGAGTATATAAGAAACCTTCGATATTAAAAAAAAAAAAAAAAAAGAGCTGTTGTGTACCTCTCCACAATTAAATATTCCTATTTATTTTAATTGTTTTATTTCTTCATATTGGAAATAATTAATTTCGATGACATTCAATATATTTATAATTAATGAAATTACTATCAGTTTTATTATAAAATTAATTTTTATTAAATTATTAAATGATTATGGCTTCTTCTTATTCGTAATCTGAATGAAAAACAGCGTATTATATATTTAAATTAATTAATTCAATGGGTTACTAAAAAATCATAAATATACATTTGCTTTGTACTTGAATCGTAAAATAATTTTAACACAAAATCCAGAAAAATTTGCTTTGCAGAAATATTGGGCCGTTTGGCCTACATAACCTCGTTATTTTGATGAGTTGGAAGTGAAGGACATTATAAAAGGTTTAATATTTTATTAGGTCACCTTTTTTTCTCGATTTCGTGTTCAGATTATCTTACGATTCAAAAGGAAATAAATGGATGTTCACAGGTTGTTAGCACCTCATTAAATCGGTAAAGTTTACCGATCTCCACATTAAAAACGAGAATTTTCATAAAACAAAAGGTTGTAGGTTACGTTAAGATGATAGTAAACAACGATTAGATAAACTTTTATAATTTACATAATTAAGGCGTGAATTAAAATAATCTTTGAATTTTATGGAATATTTATAATATATGTTAATGGTATTTGGCCATCTTCGAACAAGATATTTTATATAAAAAGGGGCAATGGCTATGGAAAGCGACTTTTACGCCTATAGAGGAAGTATGCGGAGGCCTCTATGCCATTATATCGCCCTCTGTTCCCACCTCCATTCCTATCATATTAAAGAAAGAATGAAAAAATGGAATGTATTAAAAAAGAAAAAGAAAAACAGAAAATGGAAATCCATTTACAACCAGACGGAAAATTATATTACGAAGTCACAAATCAAGAGAAAATAGCAACACTCAGATAATACAACACAATAATAATTAAAATTAAAAAAAAAAAAGTTAATGTTTTTCAAATATTTTATGAAGTTACTATAAATTAACAAAAAATCTGTGAAATTTTAATTTTTTTTAAACCTTGATTCAGCCAGTATAATGAATTTTTGTAATGATGTGCTGATTTTTATCGGATACCGAAATACTTTTGGTGGTAGTAATACGTCATACAGACCTCTTTTTATCAATTTATTAACAACCATCTGAAACTTCTTAAATAGCTCCATCTCATTGTAACCTTCAACTACTATATTTACGAAAATTCTCTATTTACGGAAAAACACCCCAATTTTCGTAAATAAAATAGTTGTAGGTTACGATGAGATGAAGCTATTTACGAAGTTTCAGGCGGATGTTCATAATTTGATAAAAAGGAATCTGTACCACGGACTATAGGAGTAGCGCACCAGAATTTTTTTTTTTCAATTCCTACTTTGAACATAAATGGGTTCTTTTTGAATTCCTATATTAACATATCTTCTTGCTTCAAACGTGCCCAAATAAGACTTTTTGGGAATTTTAATTGTATCTTACAATAATTTTTGTTAACTCCAATTCTTGGTTAGTTTTGGTACATTTTATCAATGGTTGAATTCATTAAAATTCGTCGATATGAATAATGTTAAGTCTAAATTAAATAACCTATAATAATAATTATTATTAAAAACAAAAGGGTTTAAAATAATAAAAATTTATCAAATAGATTAAGAGAATTTTACTCAACCAGCCATTTATGTAACGCTGATAGATTGTTACTAGCTCCGGGGCCTTAGAAATTCGTCGCCCTCCCATCCCCCCGAAAAATGACGTCATCTCCTCCCCCATAAAAAAACATTAAATTTATTACTTAAGCCGTTATGATTATTTCTTTATATTATGTAATATTTAAATTTTATTCCATTCAATATTTCTCTAATACAGTTGCTTTATTGATAGGTTAAAATCGATTATAATAAATTTTGAAGAGAAGAATAGTTGAATAGTTGAAGAATAGAAGCAATGCAATGCATGTAAATGATTGCTCCGATTTACACCTTTGGAGTCTGCCCTGATGAAGGCCTGAACTTCAGGTCGAAACGTCGGCAAATGTCAAAATAAATATTATCATTTATTTTTGCCTTCTTATTTGACTGATCACCCCAACTATTCTTCTCTTCATTTTTCACGACATTCAACCATTTAACCACAATATAATAAATTTTGTATTTTTTTTTTTTTTATGATCCAATTCGAGCTATTTTTGGGATTTTCGAAACAACTTGAGATATCGCAGCTTTAGTGTATAATTTTCCGTTTGGATGAATTGGAAAAGAATGTTGATTTCAGTCTTATAAAGGTTTTTTTTTTTCGTTTTGATTATAGGTCATTCTTCTGTCGAATGTTAAATTAAGTTAAGGTTAGAATTTTCTATAACATCTTTGTAACTGATTCGAAATGCTTTATCTGAGGGATGTTAAGATACTATTGTTTTCCGTTGAAAAGAATTTTTATTTTATTCAAGCAAACTTATCTAAATAGACAAAGCAGCTCAGAATGAAGCCGATTGTTACAATTCCTCGAAGCCACTCCAAACTGTTCCAAACAGTGACTGGATTTAACTGTTCCAAACAGTGACAGGATTTAACTGTTCCATTGTTCCTGTGACAGGATTGGACCACAAAAGCCGCCGCAGCAGATGAGAGCTCTCTCTAGCCCTTTTTTTGTCACAATCCATCGGCAGTTCCGACAAAATGGACCCATTCACAGCGGGAGTTATCAAATGTCCCGGACGATAACTAATCTTCTCTTATCTAGGAATTATGTGTCGGAGTGTATTCCATGAACCGAACGAGGAAAATGCTCAGTATTGTGCGTTTTCAACAGGGCATTAAGTAAACATACCCTAGCATAAACAGACAACGGTCTCTATTCATCAAATGTTTATAATTAAACGAATCCATAATTAAAAATTCTTTAAAAGGAAAAAAAGAACAACTGATAGAACAAAATTCTGTGGGAAAGTTTTTTTATTTTTTTATTTCGTCTTCTAGGAATAATACAACCATTCACTGTGTAGTCGAATGGCTACCTGAACATTCCCAAGGATGTAAAAAAAAAACATCCAAAAATTCCTAGGAGCTAACCAATTATGAAACTGCATTCGGTTTCCACCATCATGCCGGCTCGATCTTAAGTATTATTGCTACTCTACATAAAGTATGAAATCTTTAAATTTTCTTTTCTATTCACTTCAAAATACAAAATAATTTTCTTGAAGGATAATTACTTTAAAATGTCTCTATAATTTTATATACGAGATTATTCCAGTATAAGTTCCTAATGTCCATCTAATTAAATTTGTTTCTAACTTGTCATGAACAATGAACAAATTCTTTTGATAAATTTCCATACGGATTTTATAAAAGTTTATAGTTAAAGTTTTTAACTTTCTTATTTAACTTTTTTTTTTCAGACTTTGTGCTTTCGTAATATTGCAGAAATGGTCGAATCCAGATCATTTTAGTAGAAGGTTGTTGGATGAAAAGTATAAAAAAATTGATAATAAGAAAGAGAAGATAAAATAAAAAGATAAAATTTGTCAATCTTGTGAATGGTCTATTATACTATTACAAAAGATTATATCTGAACAAAATTTTATATATATATATATATATATATATATATATATATATATATATATATATATATATATATATATATATAAATCTTATGAATATCCCTGCCTTAATAGGATAGATTTAAAACTTTTTCATTCCATAAATTTCCCTATGACAGCGAAATCAATGGAAACACAGAAATAAATAAATAAATCTAAACAAAATATATATAAAGGCAGCAGATGGTCCGGGGTGGCGGTGATAAATAGACTAAATAGTGGCGAAACTATTTTATTAAAAGTCAACTTCCAATTTTAATATTTTTTTCTTTTTTATCTGTCTTCACATCCCTTTATGCCCATTATTTCATATTATATCTCTTTTCCTTTTCTTCCAATCTCTCATTTAGATCTGTGTGTATTCACTATTGCATATATTATACTTTATATTATACTACAACAATTGTCACCATCTATTTACTTCTAGTTAGGATCTTTTTACTTAGCTTACTCTGTTTATATTTTAATGTACTTAATGTTTATAATTTTAATAAGCTTATTCACAATGTTTATAATTGTTCGTCTAAATATTATGTAACTTCCACACTTCTCTATATATTTTTGTATCTTGTCCATTCTAGCCCTGAAGAAGGCCTGTTGGGTCGAAACGTTGGCTTGAAATAAAATAGTTTTGCCACTATATAGTCTATTAATGACCACCACCCCGGACCATCTCCTTCCTCAATAATACAACGGTCAACTATTAAGTATTCAAAAAATATATAATAAGATTACTTTTTATGATTTAAAAAAAAAAATCGATTTACCCACGAGTTATCGAAAGACACAGCACATGTTTATTAAAATGATAACGAAATCTATATTGCTGAAGTAATGATCGTACAGAAGCTCTCTTTGTGAAATACGACAACACTCAATTTAACTCCGTTCGTAGTCACTCGAATCAATTACGTAAATAGTGTAAAGCGGTTTCCAATTTTCATTCTTCCAGTCAATTTGTCGGTTTAACAAATTAAATGTAAATCTTCCGGCAATTATTTATTTAGTACGTTGTCGGCTATTGTAAATTTCGATAATTACAAGATAAAATAAATTATCAAAGGTAATTAATGTATTACATGATTACAAACATTTATCTTGATAATAATTTTATTGAAATTAATTTACTGAATAATTAATACAAAGTAGAGATAATTAAATTTCATTCATAAAAAATTGAAATTGAGTATCACATTTCATTCAACCCACTCACCCCCTCCCTCACCCCTAAAAAAAACGCAAAATTAATTAAATTGTTAATGAGGAACGGCTTCCAAATGTGTGGTTCGGTTATTTTTTTCTGTATAGAACAAAGAACACACCAGGACACGTGCATGCTTGCTGTTACGAAAAAAACCTCTGCTACTCTTCAGAGAAGGCTTAGCAACACTTCCATCAACTGCTTATTTCAAATTAAACTAGTAATTAAATAATAAAAAACTATTAATTAATATATTAATATTTCAATATAACAAGGGAAAAATATATTAGAAATTCAACAGGAGAATTACGGCTAAGAGAATAATTAAAAAAAAAAATCAAATAACACTCAATTTTCGTTTCCTTATCACATTGCGCGTACCAATGGTCTAAAAATCATTATATATTTTTTTAATATCATTATATTATAAAACACGAATAACTATTTAAAAATAAATAGAATTTTGTTCATTAAGAAGTTTATATAATTGGTAATTGGTTGACTGTCGTGGATAATGATGAAGAAGTTTATAATTTTATAAAAATATTTTTTATCAAGAATCATAGTTTCAAATTAAAAAAGTGATATAAATTATATTTTTTTCGTAATTCATATTCTAAAATTAAGCTCTCATAGAAAACTATTCCATGATACACTAATATTAGAAATATAACAATTCAAGATATTTCACAACTGTGACTTCCACGACTGAAAAGGAGCTGGATGAGAGACCCCGAAAAAACGCACACACTAATTAATAACAAGGAATAGGTGCCACTGGTTATTGTTCTCTCAAATCCCATTAATTTTATTTCCTTAATACGTGTCAGGACATTAACTGATAGTCTCGGGTTTTATTAGACAGCTTTAGAATAGGGCTGTACGAAAGAGGAAATAAAAAGTGTCTGCAGTTTTTTTTTTTCACAATGTCTATCAAGTCTTATTTAAAGAAAGTGAAATATGAATATTGATATAAAAACAGAATAGTTCCTCATAATTGAAGACTGCTTAACATAATTTGAAAAAAAAAATCATCTAAGAGGAAATTTTTAGGTTCAAGAGTAGAAACAAGACACCGATTGAACTTTTTATCAACTATACTGCGGATTATTTTAGATACCATCAATGATTCATGTAAGTTTATAATTCAGATAAGAAACAATTTCGAATGGAAATTCATCTTCCCGTGTCCCAAATGGTCTATTTATATTATTACATAAAATTATATAATAGGTCAGATCCAAATTGTTTCATCATATTACCCTATAAAGAGGTAGTGGCGAATGTAGAATTTAATTTTGATGTTTTTTTTATTTTAATAACAGTAAACAATTTGAAACTACCTAAATGGAATAGTGTTAAAGTGCCTCTTGAAGGCAAAATAAGGGAATTACAGGAACAATAATGCTTTCAGGAATAATTGTTTTCTTGGCAAGTTCTTACAATTTAGTAGCTACATATACATCACAATTAAAAAAAAAAAAAAAAAATATTGTCATTGTTTAAGTATTTACATTCGGTCACAGATATGAATGAATGAAAAAAAAAACTATATTTTTTTTAATTTTACAATTTTATCCCATTTAAATCCACCGGTGCAAAGAGGGGTTTCTGAAGAATTAGACGTTGCTAAAGATAAAAGGATAAAGAGATTGGTTAACGTGGTTCTTATCAGTGGTGTACCCCGACCACGGACGGATCCACGGAGAGGAAGTAGTTACTTTCGTGCTGAAGCCCCCCAAAATGTTAAAATATAACCTTATCTTATGGAATTTTTTTTTTTTTTAAATACCTGTTAAAGTATTATTGTTCGTGTAATTACATTTAACAGGAATCACTTAAACACCATTTCATGTCGGTAGTTAGTTTCTTTCTGTTTTTCCGAAGTAATAATCGTTATTTTTATGAAAAAAAAAGCTGAAGCCCCCCTTCAAAATTGGTGACCCCGACCAATAATCCAAATTACTGCTAGAAACGCTCTCGCTCTAATATTTTAAAAATCGACTATCGTTTAATAAAAAAAACGTCATCCTCTAGTTGAAAAAAAATCTGAACGTGATGTCTTTGTAATGAAAATGTCATTGAATTAAGAAAACAAAATAAATTAAAAAATGTCTCTTTCGGGAAATTATTTAGTGTGCTCAGGAAGATTCGTCCTCTTACAAGAGAATGGCATAGCAAAGATACTGATGGACACTGACCTGATACGTGGCCGAAAGACTGTGTGAGGGCAGCTATGGAGAAACCAGCGGCGAAGGAAGCGGCCAGGATGGTCTCAGCAGTGCTGCCTCCGGATGCCACCCCCGCAGCGGCACCGCTGACGGTGAAGACATAGAAGAAGGAGGACAGACACTCGGAAATGATGGATCTCCAGAACTCGAGAGTCCTGAGCTCCGCTTTGGCAGGAAGTAGCCTCGTGGAGACCTGGTCTCTTCGTACTTCTTCCAACTTCTCGAAGAGGGTGACCAGGTGGAGGTCGAGCGTGTCGCCGGCTAGAGCTCCCGATGCCATGTCTACACTACGGCCGACACTTGTGGAATGAGCCGGTTCTCCCTCGGCCGCAGCAGCGCCACCGGCGTCAAAACACTGCCTCTATCCCCATCCCCTCTCTTTGTTTACCTCTCTGGCTTCTTTCATGTTTCTTCTTTATTTTCCCCCAAATAATTAGTATTACTAATTAAATAATTTTAAGTACTAATTATAAAATATAAATTATTATTTATTAGTATGTATTTAATTTTTATTAATATTTATTTTTATTTTCACTAATATGTACAAAATATGAGAAAAAATGCTGAAAGTTGATGAAGTTAAAAAAATCTAATATTTCATAAAAAAAAATGTTTATTATATATATATATATATATATATATATATATATATATATATATATAAATTTTTTAAAGGAAGGATATGTTCCAGGGTGGCGGTCATAAATAGGCTAAATAGTGGTAAAACTATTTTATTAAAAGACAAAAAAAAACTGGCACCTTTTTTTGTTAATCAGTAACAAATCATCAATCCGATTATTATCAAGCAATGCTTGATAATAATCGGATAAGGAAGTAGATAATTAGTTCACCATAGTATTTTAACAGATATACTGTATTTGAACATAGAATTTACTATAATTTATGTGTATTTGCATATTTTTTTTTTTCTATTTTATGATGAACCCTCTTCGACAGGTTATTTTAAATTTCGTTCAATTTATAACTAATGTATATGTTTTTACATATTTGGAGTTTTCGAACCACTTCCGTCCGGTGTCGGCGGCTATGATACTTCTTATATTAATTATTTTTCTACACCAATTTTTCTAAGCACCAAAGCTTAGAACAAAATATGCAAATAAAATAAATTACAGGAAATTCTAGGTTCAATGATAGTATATCTCTTAAAATACTATGGTGAACTAATTATCTAATTCCTTATCGGATTATTTTTTTAAGCCATAATATAAATAAGAATTACAGTTCATTCGTTAAATATAGAAAAGTTTCATGCGTTAAAAATGTAATACAACCTCACGTTTATCTTATGAATTTTATTTTAATTCTCAACTACACATTTTAAATATAAAAAGTACGTTTAAAGCATTGGATTTTTTTAATCTTCATCAACTTTCAGCACTTTTTCTTAATTTTTTCTCAAATTTTGTACATATTCGTGAAAATAAAAATAATAATTAAAGGAAGGAGATGGGGTGACGGTCATAAATACACTAAATAGTGGTAAAACTATTTTATTAAAAGCCAACGTTTCGACCCGACTTTGCAGGTCTTCTTCAGGGCTAGAACGGACAAGATACAAAAAGTTATTATATGTGATAACAATTGTTGTAGTATAATATATAATAAGTGCAAATGCCGCACCAATGACACTAAGTTAATGCCCGACACTCCAGAAACCTATAGAAAAATCATAAAATATTTATCTGACACCAAGGCTGATTACCACACTTATCAACTGCGTCAAGAGAGGGCGCTCAGGGTCGTTATCAGAAGACTGCACCCATCTACGCCAACAGATGCTATAAAAGAAGAGCTCACGGGTATGGGATTCCATGTTCGCCAGATAGTGAACATATTTAAGGAGGATAGAGAACAGCCTGGAATAAAAAATAAAATACCTCTTCCACTATTCTTCGTTGACCTTGGCCGAACACCTGATGTCGAAAACATCTACAAGGTCACACGCCTTTATTATACAAGCGTTGTTGTAGAAAAGCCCTACAGCAAGCGCGACATCGTTCAATGCCATAACTGCCAGGCTTATGGCCATACGAAACGGTATTGTCATCACATTCCTAGATGTGTGAGGTGTGGTGAGCAACACAAAACAGAGGACTGTAGGAAGTCTAGAACTTCACCTGCAGTATGCGCTTTATGCCACCAAGGACACCCAGCCAACTACAAGGGTTGTCAAACTTACAAAGATTTGAAAACACGAATGTACGCAACGCCTAGAGAAGAAGGGACATCCAGGCCACCAAGACAACCCTATAGAACAGTGAACGGAAGAGTGTCCTATGCTCAGATGTTCAAAGGAGACACTGTAAACACTCAATCTCAGGCCCTGCCACAAGAATCTAAACCTCAAGAATTCACACATCAACCTCAAGACCCATATCCCTCCATCCCTGAACGTAGGTTAAATACTCACACATTCATTCCTCCTCCTTCCAATTCCACTGACCTCACAAGCCTATTGACATCTTTCCTTTCCGAATTTAGATCTCTCATTACCCCCCTTATTTCGCTACTTACCAATGTTATATCCAACCTCATTCCACTGCCAAGAAATCCATAAATGTCCTCAACCAAATTCCTCTCCATTCTCCTCTGGAATGCGAATGGTATTCGGAACCACATCAACGAACTGACAATCTTATTACATGACAAAAACATCGACATAGCACTAATAACTGAAACTCGACTAACCAACAAACGACAAATCAACGTGCCCGGCTACAATATTTATCGAACCGACCATCCTGATGGAACAGCACATGGTGGCACTGCCATAATTATCCATCGATCCGTTTCCCATCATTTGTTTCCCTTACCAAGCCATAATTTCCTACAATCCACAGCCGTAATAATCCAAACACCCCTTTACCCAATAACACTAGTTGCGGCATATTCCCCACCTAAAACACCCATTTCCGAATCCCAAATAATTTCCTTCCTGAATTCCTTAGGACACCACTTCCTCCTAGGTGCAGATCTAAATGCAAAACACCAGCAATGGGGAGCCAGATCCACAAATTCCCGAGGCCGAACATTGCTATCTGCACTTAATTCCCATCGCAGCAACATCCTTTCACCTAATACACCCACATACTGGCCAACAGATCCCAACCGCAATCCCGACCTTCTAGACTTTTTCCTCCACAAAGGTCTAGGATCACTACACTGTTCTATTTCAAGGTTTGATGATCTTTCCTCAGACCATAGTCCTCTAGTCCTAACCGTTTCCACATCTCCCATTCCCAAATCATCCCCACCTTCATTTATCAGGGGGCCAGTTAACTGGAACCTTTTCCGTCAAATACTGGAAGATAATATTGACCTCAGAGTTTCCTTAAAAACACCTGAAGACCTCGACGATGCAGTGCATTCCTTCACTACCCTGATCCAGCAAGCAGCTTGGACTGCATCCTCACCTGATCGTCCCAAAAAATACCATAACATAAATCCTTTACCTCAAGATCTATTGGACCTAATCCATAGCAAACGTTGCTCTAGGACCCTTTGGCAAAGAACTAGGCATCCTGATGACCGGAAATCGTATAATTATTATTCCAAACAGGTAAAAAAGAAACTGGAAACTTTTAAAACCCAATCCTACAATTCCTACCTCTCCTCATTATCCGCTAGTGATAAATCCCTCTGGAACGTAACCAAAAAAATCCTTAAATTCCAGTCCATTTCCCATCCACTTCGCCGTGATGATGGTTCCTGGGCTTCGTCAGATGCGAATAGAGCAGAGGAGTTTGCTAAACATTTATCCTACACATTCACCCCTCACCCCGAACTCCATCCCAGCCACACTGCTGAAGTTGAAGAATTCCTCTCTTCACCAATTCCTCTCTCTCTACCTCCAAAACCTGTTAACCCCTCTGAGGTCAAATTCCTTATAAACAAATTAAAACCCCGAAAATCCCCTGGATATGATCTCCTCACTTCACAAATCCTCAGACAACTTCCCAAAAAAGCAATCATATTCCTTACCTATCTATACAACTGCATCCTTCGCACAACCAACTTTCCTTTGGTGTGGAAACATTCCATAATCATCCTGTTTCCAAAACCAGGTAAACCTGTTAATAACACATCATCCTATAGACCGATAAGCTTACTCCCGATCCTCTCAAAAATCTTTGAGAAAATCCTTCTCAAACGCATCCTACCCATAATCGAATCCCACAACATCCCTTCTCATCAGTTTGGATTCCGCTCAAGACATTCCACTGTCCAACAAGGCCTTCGTGTTGTGGACCATATATCCTCTGCACTTGAAAACAAGCATATTGCACTGGTGCCTTTCTGGACGTAGCACAAGCTTTCGACCGGGTGTGGCACGATGGCTTGCTTTTCAAGCTCAAAACCCATTTACCCCAATCCTTATACCTAGTCCTCAAATCCTACCTCTCAAATCGTTCCTTTCAAGTCCGTTGTGACACCGCATTCTCCACTTACTATCCAGTTGAGGCTGGTGTTCCACAAGGCAGTGTCTTGGGCCCAGTTCTCTATATCCTCTTCACTTCCGATATCCCTTCCAATCCCGATACATTTCTAGCTACATTTGCTGATGATACTGCCATTCTATCTTCCCACTCAGATCCTCAAATAGCATCTCTAAACCTACAATCTCACCTCTCTTTGATTGAGCAGTGGTGCAACAACTGGCGCATCAAAATCAATGAATCAAAATGCAAACATATCACTTTTACCCTGCGACGCAGATCCTGTCCGTCAATCCTTTTTAATTCAATTCCACTTCCCTACTCAGACACAGTCCGTTACCTTGGCTTCCTTCTTGACAAAAGACTAACTTGGAACCCACATACCAGACTTAAAAGACAAGAACTTAACCGACGATATGGCCAGCTGTATAGATTACTAAGTAGGACATCCCATCTTTCGATTGAAAATAAACTTTTAATCTACAAGACCATACTGAAACCTATCTGGACCTACGGACTTGAACTGTGGGGAACTGCTAAACATTCGAATATCAAACGCATCCAATCCTTCCAGTCCAAAGTACTTAGAACAATAGTCAATGCCCCATATTATGTCACAAACAAGACCCTACACCATGACCTTAACATCCCATTTGTCCTCGACATCATCCCAACCAGATTCTCAAACTTTCACCAAAACCTTATCCATCATCCAAATCCTCTAGCTCAATCCCTATCCAGCTCCCTTCATCCCTACAATCCTCCACGAAGGTTAAAACGGCAGTGGCCCAGAGATCTCTTGTAAATATGCTTCTGGAGT